AGCAGACCAGGGAGACGCGGGCGGCAGACTGAGACGCACCGCGGTCCCGCCGCCCAGGTCCTCCGTGGCTTTGCTCCGCGTCTCCCTGGTCTGCTGGAGACGGGGAGCAAAGCCGCGGAGCATGCGGGCAGCGGGACAGCCCAGATGTGCCGCGGCTGTCCCGCTGCCAGCGTCCTCAGAGGCTTTGCTCCCCGTCTCCCTGGTCTGCTGGTCTCCAGCAGACCAGGGAGACACGGAGCAAACCCCGTTCGTAACTGCGGATCCGACATAAGTCGGATCTGCGTAACTCGGGGACTGCCTGTACACTCGGCCATGTGCTCCAAGCGGCTAGTGGGCCACACTTTATTCTTTTATAAAATGTAGTGGCGGGCCACAAAAAACTTCTATAGGGCCGCATGCAGTCCTCCAGATGCCTGTTTGACATGCCTGTACTAGCGAGTTTAGAAGATTGGATGCTTTGCATCAATTACATCTCTGCTTCCTGTCTTCTGTGTGATAGATTAGAGGAAGTCGGTTCTGCTGATTGCCTGACAACTTCTTTTATGTCCTGTCTCTGGTCAGGTCTACACTAGATCTGGAAGGTCAGCTTAGGGTATGCATGTGCAGCTATGTATTACTTTAAGCTGAGCTTGGCTCCCTCCTCATTGTGGGAGGCTGATGGGAGCAAATGCTCCCATTGGCTTCCCTTACTCCTCTTAGTGCTGGCTGGAGCTACCCTTAGTGTTCAATTTACTATACTAGACCCACTAAATCAAATGCCAGAATGTCAATCTCCGGTGCAGCGAGTGAAGACATGCCCTCTGTAGATATATCTTGGGAAAGGGAGACAGCACCTTGGCTCTAAACCCTACCATAGTGTTACTGGTAAAACTCTTTCAGGGCTTGGGAAAAAGAAGATTTTTAACAATGACCTATTGGTCCACTGAGTGTATGTGCTTGGCTTTTTAGCTGTGTAGCAAACATTGTTTTTCATTCCCAAGATGCACATTTAATGAAGTGATGACTCATAGCTCCCTTTCTCGTTTATTGCATAGTAAAATGCCCATTAACTATGAATTCAAGGATATGGGAAATAACTGGGAATAATAGACCAGGAAAATAAAATGATGGCTTATGGAGAGAGGCAAGACCTGAGGAATTTTTAAGATGAAAATAGCCAATGTTGGAAGGCATGTAATTGACAGGATTTCAAACTCTGGCCATTAGCAGGTATGGTCCATATATATGGACTAGATGGTTTCTTTGTCATGTGACAGCAGGTATGCTTTTATTACTGAATTACAGACATTTAATTCTTATTATGAATAATGGACTTCAGGGATGAGTAATTCTTCCTACTCTGCTTTAGAATGGAGAATCAATAAAGTCCTGGGGTTTTTTACATAACCTCTGTAAAATTCATTGCTAATTATTCTTTGCAAGTTACTTTGATTGACAGTGTTAAAATAAATTAATCCCAGAACATTTAATTTCTTTTTTGCAGATTGCTGGGTTCTCCAATAATTACTGGGAATTAAGGAGATGTCGGCCTAAATTAAAAAAACTGAGGAAGCTTCTAATGGAAAATCCTTATGAAGGGCCAGACCGTGAAAGAGAGAAAGCTGTGACTGACTCAAAGGTAAGCCTGTTATGTAAATCATTTTTGTTTTTACTTTTCCTTTGTAATTATACAGTGTTTGTTGCATATAAACACTCAACATTTAAATGTATTCACTACTGAAGTAAAACAGTGGATGTTCAGTATCCAAGTACAGATTGAATCTCTCTATTTCAAAGGCACAATGAAGACAACACTAAGGTGCATTTTGGGGAATCAAGGAGAGCATGTTTGTCAATTATTTGGACTGAGGTGATGCAATTTTATTTTGCTGACTAGAATAGTGGAGATACTCATCCACATTTTGTGACTTGTTTTGCCTAATTTAAACCTGCTTGAATACTGTTAGAGTTCCAGAATTTGATTATGAACTGAAACGTCTGAATCATGTGGGTGAACGAAAAGCAAGTATGTACCTTTGTTTTGATGCCTCCTTGAAGTAGCCTTAGATCACTGGTGTGTAGTGCAAAAGTTTCCTTTAATTAGAAAGAATGTTATTTAAATTTTTTTGGGGGGAGAAACATGTTTAAATTGCAGGAAACGATTGTTTGCAAATTTGAACTAGTATGGTAAACTTAAGATACTTCAACTTTGCAACACCCAAGCCTCCACTGTTTTCTTCCATCCTTGTTCTAAATAATGTTTCTTTATCATACTTAAATAAGGTGACATTTATTTACTTCAATTGAGCTTTATTAAAGGCTGAAGATAACCCATTCATTTCTTCTTGCATGCTACAGTATACAATGGAAGACTTGCTAGATCTGATTCAAGCGAGCGAGGAAGAAATATTACATCAGCTGAAGGTTATAAATGCCTGTAAAATTGAAGGTATTTGTCCCTACACATTATAGATTATTTTGAAGCATAAACATATGGAGTCAGCTTAAGAATGCTGAAAATGGAGGTCTCTGCAGCTTCATCATGTCTATAGCGAGTCTTTCAATGTTAAAATGGGAGTCAAAAAAGTTAATTCCTCTATTCTAAACAGGCATAGCATGCAAGGCAGGCAATTAGGCATAGGCATAGGCATGCATAATGGGTGGAGAATACCTGTCATTACTGTTAATTGTAATCATGGATCAAAAAATATTAAAAGTTTTTATTGACTACATCTCTGATCAGTTGTATAACATCCCTTTAGCAACTGTACAGTAATTGATTTACATAGAAAAGTAACTAAGGGTATTTTGGTCTCCTTGAAAAATTTAATATCACAAGTCTGTTTGCTCCATTCTGCTCCTCTTTTGTTTCTTGTTTTAAGATAATGTTTAAGTGTATTTAGGATTTTGGTGTTCTGTGCCTTGAAAGGGATATGATACCGTATTTTCCGGCGTATAAGGCGACTGGGCGTATAAGACGACCCCCTAATTATCTAGTTAAAAGATAGGTTTTCGTCTTATACTCGCCGTATAAGACTACCCCCCCTTAAGAGGCCAACCGGCAGCGCCCCAGTGCCCCTCCGCCTCCCCGGCTTTGCTCCCGGTGTCCCTGGTCTGCTGGAGACGGTCCCGCCGCTTCGGCTTTGCTTCCGGTGCCTCTGGTCTGCTGGGGACTGTCTCCAGCAGACCAGGGACACCGAGAGCAAAGCCTCTGAGGACGCTGGCAGCGGGACAGCCGCGGCGCGCCTGGGCTGCCCTGCTGCCGGAGCCCTTCCGTGGCTTTGCTCCGCGTCTTCCTGGTCTGCAGACCAGGGAGACGCGGAGCAGCTTTTCTCGCCCCGGAGTACACGGGCGGCGGGACCGCGAGGTCCCGCAGTCTGTGTCCTCCGGGGTGAGAAAAGCCCCATTTGTACCTGCAAGTCGGGGACTGCCTGTATACCCGGCGTATAAGACGACCCCCGATTTTTGTGGGATGTTTTTTAGCATAAAAAGTCGTCTTATATGCCGGAAAATACGGTACTCTAGTGTGAGAATCTTAAAATATATTTTCAGAGAATTAAAATTACCAAGTATTACATATTTCTTCTATTTGGCAGGATATTGGAGGGTTTTAGAATTTGATTACGAGATGAAACTTCTGAATCATGTGACTCAGCTAATAGACTCTGAATCTTGGTCTTTTAGCAAGGTTCCTTTAAGTATCTGTCTTCAAGAGCTTGGACCCCTGGAGCCCAAGTAAGTAACTTTTTGTTTCTTTAAGTGCTTAAATCACTAGAAAACAAAATTACTGTTACCCATATAAATCAAAATTAGTATTTGCACTTACCATAGAGTAATCCTATATAACTATATTTAACTGCTCAAGATTTCAAGTTCTTTGACTTCATAAAATGTAAGTTCATTGCACCTTTAAGGCATAGTCCTGCTCTGAGATCAGTGTGGAATTGCACTTCTCCTGGGACAAGGAGTCCTTTAGCACCTTATAGACTAACAGATGTATTGGCGCATAAGCTTTCGTGGGCAAAGACCCACTTCATCAGATGCATCTGATGAAGTGGGTCTTTGCCCACGAAAGCTTATGCGCCAATACATCTGTTAGTCTATAAGGTGCTAAAGGACTCCTTGTCCCAGGAGAAGTGCAATTCCACACTGATCTCAGAGCAGGACTATGCCTTAAAGGTGCAATGAACTTACATTTTATGAAGTCAAAGAACTTGAAATCTTGAGCAGTTAAATATAGTTATATAGGATTACTCTATGGTAATCTTCGTCCCAGGAATCTTTGTCCCATAGAAGAGCAGCCATACTCATATAGGAAGTATGTGAGCTGCAGTTGTGTCCCATACACTGCAAAGGGCATAAAGGCTTCTTCAACCCTTTTTTCCTTCCACCATTCTTTGTGCTCAAGAAGAGCATAAAATGGCCTGGAGTAATTATTGACACGAGGTCTTCCTTCATCATTGTCACAAAACATAGGTTGGGATTATAAAAGATCCTACTCGAGTCTCATGACAAGGATAAGTATCCACTGATTCCAAGCACTACTGTTACAATGAAATGAAAATCACCTTAGCTGTTGCATCAGTGTATATTTCATGTGCTGCTAGTACCCATTATTTAACTAGCAAATTGCCTTTCATGGTGGGATATCATTCAGGAAATATGGCAAACAAATAAGCGGCTGGCACCTCCTCCATAATCATTTTGTATTAAGCACTGGTATATTTGGTAGTGTAGTGTTAGAGCTGAATAAATATCAGAGTGATTATATTAACAGAACAGTATTAAAATATTTACAGGCCATTCCATTCATATTACAAGACTACTGAATGTACTTAACCCACTGAGGCTTTTACAAATTTTGTTGAACTTTATTTAGAGGAAAAAACCCATACTGACATCCCAGATCTGCAAAGTAGTACAAGTTATGCTATTATTTGGTGCAACCAGGCCATAAAGTACTTCTTATTAATAGATTATACATAGCTGGTGTACTTTGTGCAACTCTGTGATGCTTTTATTTTCCTTCCCTCTGCAACTCTTCAAAACAGAGGAGAGCAGGCACTAAGGAGGGGGAAGTGAAATTGCTAGGGTAATAGTCTGAACCAACCAAAGGGAGTCTTCAGAGACCCTGGATTAACATCCCTCACTTTATCCATTTCAGCCCCTATTTACTCATTCTCTTTCGGCTCCTGTTACTTCTGTGTCCCTCTTTCAGCTCTCCCACCTTATTTTGTTCCTTTGCTCCTTAACCCTTCAGCTGCTATTACACATCCCATCCCCTATTCTCTTTCCTGGCTTTACATTGCCTGTATCTTTACAACCACTGTTTCAGAAGGTCAGTGGGAGGAAGAAAGGAATTTGTAGTGTTTTGTTTAATGATTGTATACTAACTAACTTTATAGAATACATTTTTTCAAACTGCATTTCCTTTGCCATAAGTCTTAATCTACTTTTATGCATTTCAAGTTTAACTTTCCTTTCAGAGAAATGATACAACATATTCTTTTAAGTTATGGAATGAAACATACTGACAAAGGTAAGCTTGGCAAGGATACATTTATTGAGATTATTCATTAGGAAAATGAACATAGTATTACTAGCTACAAATAACTGACAATTGTATAACAAAGTAGGGTTAAGACTTAACAAATGATGTTACTAAAATAACATTGTATAAGGGTAGGGAGGCCAATACTGAGCTAAGAAATGTTTAGAGTGATTATCAGGGAAAATTTCCTTAACTGGAGTCGGAAAACTAGTATAATTAGAAAAGAATCATAAATTAGCAGAGAGGTACCTGACATAAGTAGTAAATATTTCCAATTCATAGTTTCTGTGATTAATGCTGTACAACACATTTAAACTCAAATAACTTTTTTCTGATTTGGATTTTGTTATCTAAGCATTTGGAATTAAATTATGTGTAGAAGGGCATAGTGGCTCTCAAAGGGCTATAAGTCCCCCCCCCCCCCCCTTTTCAGACCACATTGTGGGACTGGAACCAGTGCTGGGAAAGGCAGAGCTGTAGAAGGCACTCTACTTGCATGAGTTGAGACCAGGAAAGTGACACGAGTTAGTGTGGAGCTCTCCACTAAGGGCATTGAGAAAGGTGTTGTAGTGGCAGTGACTACTGGAGTATCTCTAGACAACGCATATGGGAATAGCTTGGTTTGAGCCCAAGAAAGTGGCCTGGAAGTCCTGTGAAAGGACCTGGATGCAGGAGGACCTTTGAAAGGGAAAAAGTGAAGCAGGTAATTTAAAACCCTGCTTGTTTGTACAAGGAATGTAAAATTTCAATTAATTGGCTAATTTAATAGTCCATGCAATTTGCATAGACTATTTGATTAGTCGATAAGGGCACCTCTGCCTTTGAAGTGTAGCAGCTGCATCAGGGCTGTTGCTACACTTCAAAGCTGAAAGCACTGCAGAGAGCACGGGGCCAGTGGGGGACTCACACAGTCCCCTGCTGGCTGGGCTCCTCTCAGTGTTTCAAAGCGGCAAAGCTGCTTGGAGCCCGGGGTCAGTGCTGTGTGAAAGTGGCAGATTCCACGGCAGCGCCATGTGGAGCACAGAGTATGGTTTTGGGCTCCACACACAGCATGGCTGCTTTGAAACACACCTTATTGCCTCTGATAGAGGCAGCAAGGGGAGAGGAAGCAACTAGTCAACTATCATATCAACTATCACATAAGCATTTGCTTATTGGATAGTTGACTAGTCATTCACATCCCTAGTTTGTACATATTATTCTTATGGGTTTAAAACAATGTCTTTCTGAGAGTGGAAGAAAGTACATCTCACCACTTTCACTACCCTACATCATGAAGACAACCAAGATGTGGACTAAGGATATTAACTAATGATTAATTTACTAGTAATTTCCATCGACTAGTCAGTAGGCACTGTCGCATTCCTGGGGCTCTTCTGCATTCCTCCTCTGAAATGTACAACTCCGTGTGCAGCCCGGGGCCAGCGGAAAGTCCTGCTGACTGTGGGCTGCATGCGGGCGTGCCAGGCTCTTGTGCATTTCAAAATGGAAGTGCCCTCATGTAGCGTGGGGTCTATGGGAGACTCAGAGTTCCCCACTGACCCCGGGCTCCATGCTGCACTGCTGCTTTGAAATGCAATGCAGCATTTCAAAGGGGCAGGGCTGCACAGAGCCCGAGCTCAGCTGTGTGGCGCTGCTCCTTTGAAATAGGGATGTAATAGTATAGTCAGCTAACCAATTAACCGACAAGCAAAAGCGTATAGATTAATTCTCCAGACTACACACATTCTCCTTTTCCCTACCTCCCCCCACCAGTAAATTTTTTAGCACACTGGCCAGCAGCCTGGCTCAGTCCTGGCTTGCGACGGGTCCGGGATCTACCCCTGCTGCGGCTCTGCCTTTAAAGCGTACCTGGAGCCGGGCAGGCAGACAGCTCAGCTCCGTTCTGGCTCGTGCCAGGTCTGGGAGCTCAGAGTCTAGACTTGGGCTGCTACCACCCTGCACTGTTCCTCCTGTCAGAGGCAACAGCACAGTGTAACAGGCAGGCAGTCTGCGAGGGGAGCTGGATTTTAAACTGGCTTCCCTTGCAGACCAGCTCCTGCCTGGCACTCCATGCTGCTGCCTCTGATGGAGGCAGCAGCATGGAGTGGCACGAGGCTCCTTGGGAGTGAGGCACACTGGCTGCTGGCCCCGCCCCCAGGAACTATAGAATAGTCGACTGATGATAATTCATGAGATTACTCGATTATTCAATTAACCGATATTTAACATCCCTACTTTGAAACGCTGAGGCAGTGTTTTCAAGGGGCAGTGCCACACGGTGCTGACCCCGGGCTCAATGTGGTGGTGCCCTTTAAGGGGCAGCGCTGCATGGAGTCCGGGGTCAGATCCTTGCAGCTCTGCTTTAAAACGCTGAAGTGGCGTTTCAAAGCAGCATTGCTGGACAGATTTGAATTACCCCCTCTACTCTCCCCCTTTGCTGCCTCTGATAGAGGCAGCGGGGAGGGAGGGGGTAATGGACTAGTCACTCGACTAGCCAATAAGCATTTGCTTATTGGATATTCGATTAGTCCTTAACATCCTTAATATGGACCTTGGAAATGAAAGGACTACTGAATTGTTTAGCTCGGAGTGCAAACAAGACTGTGAAAGATAGGGGTAGGGTGAGGGTAAAAGGAAGGTTTCTTTTGAGGAGAGTGCAGATCTGTTAGTCCTGTATCAGGAGGACTAACAGCTGTGGCTAGGAGAGAACTAAGTATGTACTTGTTTGAGTTCTGATTGTTTAGATGGAAAGGGAGAGAACTTTAACTTAGCTAGAGGCGAAACTTAGGCACAAACTACCTGCCAGGAGTGGGAGTCAGCAGACCAGAGGGGAAACTTGAAGCACAGAAATGTCTTGATACCAATGCAGGCAAGAAGCTGTAAATGTAATATTTCTTTTTCCTTAGTAGATGAAGTCTATTTTGAAATGAATGCAGACAAAATATGCACAGCTACAGCACAAATGCTCTTGCAAAATGCAGTTAAATTCAATCTATCAGAATTTCAAGAAGTATGGCAACAAAGTGTCCCCGAAGGACTGATAACAAGGCTGGATCAGCTTAAGGTAAAAAACTATACTAGTAGATTTGTTTACATGTATTAACAGGATGTTCTTACTGCTGTATTATGTAGGACTTGTATATCATGAACAACCTGCTTCTTTTTTATTTCAACAGTATTTGCCAGCAGCTGAGAGAAGCATCCTGCTCCTGCTCTAAAGCACTTAGGCAGTTTCACTTCAGAGGAAATGCCTAGGACCTCAGTGTAGGAGCATGACACTCCTCTCCTGTCTGCCTGAACCTGATACACATAACTGTAGAAGAAAAAATTCAAATGTAGGGTCCATGACTATCTATGTAGACTGAATAGAAGTGTAGCATACTATGGAACAGCCTTCAATGATTCAAGCATGTAGCAACCACTGTAAAACATTTTGCTCAAAGCAGCAGTGTGGGATATCAAGTATTGAACTTTTACAAACTCTCCTTCCTTAAGGGATGGGAGAACTAAGTCCTTCATGAGGGCAGGTATTGTGAAGGTTTCCATTTTGCTTTTAAAATTGTACAGTTTTAGGAGTTAAAATACAGAGTTAAATGGCAATAACACATTGATATACCAAGAGATAGGAGATTTGATCATGTTTTGTGTGTTAATTTGTCATTCTATCATTGCCCCGATAGGGTTTGGCTCTGTTGGATAGGAACTCCAGACCAGAGACTATCTTCTTGCTAAAAGTAGAAGACTTGCCTGAAGATAACCAGGAAAGGTTCAACAGGCTATTTACCATTCGGGAAAAGTGGACAGAAGCAGATATTGCTCCATATATTCAGTAAGTAGTTCACTGTTAAGCAGAAGACTTTTTAAAAGTACAGTAAGTACATAAAGACTTTTACAAGTTGAACCTCTCTAGTCTGGAACCCTCGGGACTATGCAAGAATCATGAGAGGCCAGTATTGGCTACCAGCGTTACTAACACTTCCACTACTTACTGGGCTCTTAGAAGACGTTTAGGATAAATTAGAGCTAAATAGCAGCATAGAATGTGGAGAGCCAAAACTGGTGGCTGTAAAATGTTCTGAGACTACGGGTAACTTGGCTACAGCCATAAGTGGAGTTCCTGCTGTAGCTGAGGGAGAAGTGTGCTTCCCCCAGTGAGGCAGCTACGTGCATGGAGCTCTGAGCCACTGACTGGGCAGGGCTCATTAAACTGTGAGGCTGTGCTACTGCACAGCTTAGAGGGAACCTTGGTGTTGAACCACGAAAGGACAGCCAGTCTAATGGACAGTGAAGGGATCAGAAGAGCTTAGCCAAGAAATCTTTAAAATGAGGGAAAATAGAGAGATGACTAGCAGTAAATATTTGACTTCAGAGAAAAGGCTAAAACTTCAACTTTCCTTTGTACATCTTATCTCCCAAATTAGTTTGTCAGCAAAGTCAAACTTAAAATTCCAGAACCATACTCTAGTAGTACTTCTCGTGTTGCATCCTTTCCCTTAGTCCTTTCATTGTTTAAAATCCAATCAAGCTCTGGGTCTTGTACAACTAAGCAGTGTACAAGCATACTTGATTTGACATGGCCCTTGCCTCAGAGCTTTGAGCCAAATTCTGCTGCTCAGAGTAAAATCTGAAGTAACTTCATTGATTCAGGTTTGCTCTAAACTTATCAATATAGCTGTGTCAATCAGGTGTGTGGAAAAAACTTCACACCTCTGACCAACATAGCTATGCCAACAAATTCACAGCATAGATGCAGCTATGTTAATAGAAGAGAGCTTTTGTTGACGTAGCCCACATCGTTCGGGGAAATGGTGTATCTGCACTGTCAGAAAACTCTGATGAAGGCTGAATCTGTAGGAGTGGGCTATGCTGGTAGAACTATAATGGTATAGGCTCGGTTGTGTAAACAATTGTACTGATGTAACGGACAACAGAATTAGATTTTTGTCTTCAGATTGTAAGCTATTCAAGGTAAGAACCATATTGCTGTTCTGTAAAGCATGTAGTATGTTTTTGAGCAGTGTTTCCCAAACTGTGGGTCGCGGCCTGGTACCGAGCCGTGGGAAAAAAATACTGGGCCTTAGCATGGCTGCCAGGGTGTTCCGGGCTCCCGGACTGCCCATGCAGTGCCGGGTTCCCCAAGCCCTCAGCCAGACTGGGCGGATGCAGCCGTATGTTTCAGGCTCCCGGCAGAGGCATAGTGAGGGTTACCAGGTGAGCTCTTATTGCTGGCTGTGAAGGGGGGGTTGGATATGGGCCGCAGGGAAGCAGGATTGGGGCAGTAGAGCTGCCCGGGGGAGATAGGGAGGGGAATCGGCCAGCGGAAGCAGGGCTGGCTGGGAGGGGTGGGGAGTGGGAGCAGTGGGGCTGGCCAGGGGAGATCGTGGGGGGGGGGAACCGGCTGGCAGGGGCAGTG